GTCCTTCACCTTCCTAATCCAATCGGCGGCAACGGTAATGTCACCGGTGCCGTCAAAGGACCTACACCCCAAGGCCCTAGCCTCCTTGAGGTACTTGGAGATTCTCACGACAAAACCTCCTTCACGCCCACCTTGTGACGCCGCTGGGGTGGCCACGGAAGCTCCCCGGCTTCCTTGACCCGAACCACCGCGAGAGCCACGCCTCGCTTGGCGCCTAAGGTCCCTCCTCAATTTTTCTTTTTGATACCATTCAAGCAATTCGCCCATTTGGGCGAACTTGGCATCACTCTCTTCATCATCATCATCGGTGTACGTGTCACCCCCATCATACGGGGTCTCTTCATGCTCCGTCTCTGGCACGTAGGTTGGGTCGTAGTCTTCGGTGTTGGTCTCATACACCGAGCTCACATGGCCATCACTCACAGTTTGAGCTTGATGACCTCCACGGCTTCCACGGCCTCCCCGGCCTCCTCTCGAACCCCGAGATGCAGCCCGGCTTCCCCTTTGGGATGCTACCGGCGCCTGCCCCCTCGGATTGTTCCTGGTCCTCATTCGCCTGCCCTCAATTTCTGAAAGAAATATGGATGAGTCATTAGACTCCTATAAATGTCAATTGACGGAAGAACGTTATAGACACGTATTGGCCCAAGTCACTACCATACCAATTGTTAAGGGTACCATCTTAACAATTAGAGGCCTTGCAACTTAGGCACCAATAGTCCTATAAACGTCAAAATACAATGCTCATGGTTTTCGGTAAAAACTCTTTTGTAAAATCTTTTGCGAGAGGTTGATTATATAGTTTAGAACTGAGATGGCTCTGATACCACTTAATCGTCACGCCCCAGACCGCAATCCAAGCGCGTGTACAACCGCCGTATAACTAAGTGACGTCACCCACGAGTCAACCCCACTTAATTACACAAGGCGTTCGAGAAAACAATTCATCCATACTCAGTAGTAAACATACATAACAACATCACATTTAAACCAATGAATAGCGGAAATATTCAACGGTAAGTCATGAGCCACAACCGGCCAACAACATGGGCATGCAAGCCCAAAAAGTGTTTATAGTAAAACAAATATCCATGAGCAAGTGTTCGGTAGTTTGAAAGAAAATAAGGAAGCACGAACCACGTCTTCCTGATTTGATATCACCCGTGAGAAGGTGCAAGTAGCAAGCCCTAGCTTCAACCTGAAAATGGTGGGGCCCCCCAAAGGGGTCAGTACAAGTACCGAGCGAGTAGCAGGCTAAATATAGAATAACTAGCGTTTCAAGTATAAGACCCAAACATAGGGTGATACTTAAATAGATAGTCTTTTCCCAAGTCATGAAATACTTATTAGTATATATATATACTTGGAAAATATCCGATCCGTAGATCACCATTTTATTTGGGAAAAATAGTATTAGTCAATATTCTTGACTAAAAACCCCAACCCACCCACATACCTATGAGTGTATAGGACTCCTCCTTGTCCCTATTTGTATATCATAATTTATGAGTTTTAGGATCAAAATCCTCGGATACTCCACCGGTTTGTGAGTGTTAAGGCCTCATAAGTCCTAGGGTCCTCCACCGAGTTTTGAGTGTTAAGTACTTTAAGTACTAGGGTCCTCCACCAAGTTTGAGTGTTAAGGACTTTTAGGTCCTAGGGTCCTCCACCAAGTTTTGAGTGTTAAGTACTTTTAAGTACTAGGGTCCTCCACCAAGTTTGAGTGTTAAGGACTTTAAGTCCTAGGGTCCTCCACCAAGTTTTGAGTGTTAAGTACTTTAAGTACTAGGGTCCTCCACCAAGTTTGAGTGTTAAGGACTTTAAGTCCTAGGGTCCTCCACCAAGTTTGAGTGTTAAGTACTTTTTAAGTACTAGGGTCCTCCACCAAATTTTGAGTGTTAAGTACTTTTTAAGTACTAGGGTCCTCCACCAAGTTTTCCTACGATCAACCTCCTATCAACCTAGATAGAGTCTATATCATCCTTAGTTACTCATAACTAATCCAATACATAAATCTTATGTATCACAATCCATGCAAAACCATGCATTTATATAGATTTATAATTAATTAATACCAATCGGTATTAATTAAATCCTTTGTTCTTCGGTCCACGTTTTCGTTGACCGCCATTTCATGCCTTGTGTGTATCAACTTAATCATCATATAATTAAGTTAATAATATTCATTTGTGCTTCTAATACACTTCAAACAAATATGCATTTCATATAATTCTTCATATCATAATCCATGCATCAACAATTAATTTCTTTCATATAAACTTAACCCTATTGGCTAATCACATGTTTAAATATCTTTTAAACATCATTATGAAATCATATAACATTTATTTAGGTAATCTCATAATTAACCCAAAAGTTATAAGATATTAAGCCGTCCACTCACCTTGAACTAGCGTTAAGAAGTTCTACCCTTCTTGGTTGAACTCCGGTGAAACTCCGGCGACTTTTGTTCAACTCCGGCGAAAACTCCGGCGACTTTTCCAACTTTGTGAAATCACTTGGGATACCCTTTACAAGTGCCTAACAAGGTTTTAACATCATAAAACCTTAATCAATACAAATAACCTATAAAAGGTTATTTTCCGGTGAACCGGTCGTTTTGGCTTCTAAGTCCGTTCTTGGACATAGAATCACTTTCCAACTCATTAATCCATACTTATAGCATGTAGAACCCTCTTAAGGGTTCTTCACATGATATATATCTCATATGGTAGAAGAAGAATAGAGAGGAAGTTATAATAGGGTCATTACCTTAACTATTTCACACTTTTAGCACTTTAACTTCTTTTTGGGTGGTTCTTCCTTGGTGAGCTCTCTTCAACAATGGTGGAAGGAAGAAGGAGAGTTCCTTGCCCTTGGTTGCTGTAGCTTGGCCGAGACAATGAGGGGAGAGAGGGGTGGAGATGAGCCTTTGTCTCATTAATCCAATGAGTGTAGAATGAGGGTCCACTTTAGGTACCTTTGATGCCATTTCCCTCATATCACAATCCCCTCCCCCCTATTTCCTATCCCACCAGCCGGCCAACACCCCACTTGAGTGTCCAAATTCGTGGGTTGGCCCCCACTCATGTGGGAGGTCAACCCTTTTTGTCCCGAAGTGTACAATCGGTCCCGAAAGTTGTATTTTTCGGACTGTTTTAAATATATTTTATTTTATCAGGTCAAATAAAATATATTATGTGCTCTTACTCATTATGACATGTATAATGAATATACATTCCCCAACTTTAATTTATAAGCCTCCAAAATTCATTTCCGGGCTGTTATCTGTTAAATTGTCGGTACCGGTAATTGGGCCTCTTTTTCCCAATCGGTCAACTCTGCGCCTTTCCACGACCCAAATAAAATATCCACCACTATATAAATATTATCTTGACCAAGATGAATAAAATATGTGGTCTCGGGAGTATCGGGCGGCCCCCGCTCCCGGTGTGGGTCCCACGTGCAAATTTACTATTCGCGCGAAAGAAATAATAAAAATTTACAACTTCGTTAATTCATTAATCCTTTAATAAGGTTCGATACATTATTTACATAAAAGTAAATATATTTGGGGACGGTGTTACAGATCCCATTAAATTTGGGGTCCAAAATATCTACCAATACTTCCAAAAATGGGAAGATGGGTCCTATTGTTTTATCTTTGTCAAAGATGTCTTTTTGTACTCATCCTAATTTATTTAGAACAAGTCAACTTCCTAAATCACATTATTGATCTCCAATATGTGTAGGCTCATCCCAATAATTTACTTGATGGATATTTTAGAAGGAAAATCCTACTCCCATTATTTAGCTCAATAATGCCAAAGATGGGGTTATAGACATTTGTATTCTCCTTTAATCATTCTTTCACTATTTAGGTAATGTTGGGCTTTTTTATTTATTAATAAGTCCCGAGTAAGTATTTGCGAAACCCGACACTAATGTACGAGTTTGAACAGTACGATATTCAACCATGCACTACGTAGAACATTGATCGTTTTACAAAATGTTTGGGAATCGGAAATCCAATACATAAGCTATGAATATTCAAATCAAATTTCCAAGGACATTCGGGTGCGGTGTCACACTAGGAGTAGTCGAGTAGACATAGAATCAGTCACCTCATACAAAGTAACCTGACTCGCTAAACCTGAAACGGACAAATTTAAGCCGAAAATGAACGGATCTGAAACTCTGCCTATCAAAAGAACTTCAAAAATCCGAACATTCAAACCAAATCTATTCGGACTAAAACAAAAACAAATACTACTAAAGAGAAAATAATACTCCCTCCGTCCCAAAAACAACTTCCCACTTTCCTTAAATGGATGTCTCAAAATTAACTTCACACTTCACACTTCAATACTTTCCTTATTTGGCAAATTATCTACATCTAAAAAGTGATAAACAGTGCCAAACAGTGTTTAAACAGTACCAAACAGTGTTTAAACAGTGTCAAACAGTGTTTAAACAGTGCTAAACAGTGCACTCTACAGTAAAGTCAAATTTATTTTCTAAAAGTGTGTGAAAGTCCAACCGGGAAGTTGTTTTCGGGACGGAGGGAGTATTGAAATAAAATCTTTCTACAAAACTCTTCCTGGTATAGAGGTGGTTCTAGAGGAGGACGAGCTCTTGCAATATGAGTGAATAACAACTCCACCACCGTCGGAGCGGGCGACCAAGGCTTCAAGATCCAGCACTAATATAAACTCTCAACCGCAATCCGTTCATCTGCTAACGTTATCTTCTTCGATGTAGTTACAATTCTAAACGTTAGAACACTTGTAATCAAAATAATATATCGTTCAAACTCATATTGATATGTCACTCCGTTTTTAGAGCTTTCTGGCCCGAGGCCCGGCCGGGCTCAGGCCTGAACCGGGCCCGAACCAGCCCGAGTCCACCCATAGTTGTTTCCCCTCTCGTACTAATGTTAATTAGGGAGATGGGAGGGGGTAGCAAGTAGCAACATTTACTTTTCCAATATTAACTAAAGCGTGTCAGTTGAGATACAATTTCAGCAGCCTAGTGCCTGGTTAGACTAGTTACGCTTTCCGTGGCCTATAGTTGGGTTCACATGATTCACATGAGAAAGTGTACACTTATACTTTACTATTAAAAGAAACTTTTAATTTGACATACAGAAAATACGGATTAACATTAAAGTCAACTACTGAATTAAAGAAGGGACATTACTACATATACAGTAATACAGAAACACCGACGTGGCAAAAATTAAGCACACAAAACTAGACTTTTAATCCGCCCTGACCGGGCGGTTAGTACGACGGCACGACGCCGTGAGATCCGTCGTGAGGGACGACAAAGGATCCCATAACTTTCACCTCGGAGCGCTTCGCGAACCTCCCCTTGATCCTCGGCCGGGTCTCTGCGTACGCCTTTCTGGAGGCATATCGGATCGTCTTCTCGAATTTCCGGTTTTTTCTCTTCTCTCTGTACCTTAGCACCCTCGCTTCTCTGTCCGCTCCGGTCAACGTATTGGGGACAGCGTCGCCGCCGACGAAGGCTCGGTCACAAGCGGCGTCAGACACGTCCGCCATGGCATTGTGGTCAGGCACCACTCCGACGTCCAGAGATGCAGACGAGACCTGATTTTAACAAATGCATATCATCGATCAATCAGATTGAAACCATTTTACCCGGTAATTAGATAACGACGGCTAAATATTAATCATACAAATTCACAGATTTAGATTAGTACGCAATAATTATGTTTCGGACATACGCTTTGGCTGATGGATTGAGCGGCGAAGTTGTATAAGAAAGGCGGCTTAGATCCGGCGGCGAATTCGGTGTCGTACGCGGGGAATCCATCGATTACCGGGTCGGGTACGTGACTCGTCGGAACTTTCTTCAGCTCAGGCACTACGCCGTCGCAGTTGTAGTTTTGATTGGTGTAGCGGTTGTGGCTGTGGTGCTTCTGGTCTACTCCGCCGCAGGAAATCATTTCCATATGAAGATACGGATCCTGATCCACATCGCCGAACAGGTACTCTGCAGTTTCGTACTCGGATCCCTCCAAATCTACTGATTTGAGGTTATTCGGATCCGGAATCAGCCACGACGCCGCCTCCGCCGCCTCTTCCTCCTCCACGTTCTGGTTGTCCGACTCGCTACTGACATATTTGTCGGAGGAGGACACGGACGCGGATCCGTGAGCTTTCGAGGACGCGTCGTCTGCGGAGTGGTAGAACGGCACAACGGGGAGGCGCTCGTGGCGGCGGGACAAGGGGTTCGCCGAGTGGATGTCGCGGTCGCAAGTGACGCAGAGCGCGGCGTCGTCAGCCTTGCACGTGAAGCTAGCCGGAGCCTGCTCGCACACGTCGCAGACGGAGACGCGCGCGTGGCGGGACGCGAGCTTGTTGGCCGCGTGGATCGTGGAGTCGCAGTTGCCGCAGAGGAACGCGGCGTCGGCACGGCAGAAGACGGTGGCTGAGGCCGTCCGGCAGTAATCGCACAGTTTGGCGGTCAAGCTCCAACTCTCCGCTCCCATCTCCTCTGAAGCTTTGATTTTCCTGATTAGTCTAATGCTCAAACCAACCCCTCTCTCTCTCTCTCTATCTTACCCTGTCCGTGAAGTACTGAACTGAAGTATAAAGTGCTGGTTGCAAGTCGCTCTATTCCCAGTTTTATAAACTGCAGAGTGATAATTATCCTTCCAATAATGAGTACCGAAAAAATGCAGAGTAAATTTAATAGGATCCGTACTGACTGGATTGATTTCAACCAGACTGGACGGGCTGAAGTCACAATTGCTCAAAAGATAGAATGGAAACTACACAAATTTAATTAAATTTAATACGGAGTGCGAGACAATCTTAAATAGACAAATCAAAATATAAAAATAAAACAATTTTAGGGAAAGTAATACTCCCTCCGTCCCATTTTGGTTGTCCTACTTTCCTTTTTGGGTTGTCCCAAAATGAATGTCTTGTTTCCTTTTTTGCCATGAAATATGTGGTTCTTATTAATTCACTTTATTCTACTCAAATCTCAACCACAACTTTTTACTTTTCAACCACTTTATTAATAATCGTGCCAAATTGAAGGTGGACAACCATTATGGGACGGAGGGAGTAAGAAATAATGGCCCAAATAATACTAGTGGAGTTTCAAAGGATAAAAATATGACCAATTTTTGTTTAGACAAAAAACTGATCCAAATTCTAAGCCCATTCCATCTCCGTCTTTCCCATCCGCTTCACATTCACGCTCTGCTTTCTCTTCTCGCATCTGCGCTCACTCTTATGTTCCATCGCCGATGTCTACACCAATGCCACCTCCATTCGCGTTGAAACCTCCGCCGCCTCGCCGCCTCGCCTCCGATCCATTTCTTTTCCTTCTCATTTGTCGTGCTGTCCTTCGCCGCCTCACCGCCACGCTGTCGCCATCGCTGCTCTTCTCCTCCATCGCTAGAACTGAAATCGCGACCAGCGACACAGATTTGCCCTCCATGGCCATCACGCTGTCTCCATCGCTCCTTCTCAGATTCGATCTCAAAATCGCGAGGATGAGATCGAAAGGGCGATATTGGGGAAGATTGAAATCTGCGAGCTTCATCGATGCTACAATAAAAACGGTGGTCAACGATGAGCTTCGTGGGTGGGTCAAATCTGTCATCCGCCTTGGGACTAAACAAATCCGCCGCAGATCTGGAATTTTGGCTTAGGGAGACAGGGGTTAGAGTCGTTAGACCAACTGGGGAGGGGCTGGGAAGGAGGCCATACCAGGAAGGTAAGGACTATGAAGGGGCGGTCAAGCTGGTAGGGTGGTGGTCAGGTTGGGACGACAGGGAAGGGGCTGCAGACTGGTGGAGGTTGGGAGGGCAATGTCAGGGTTTGGTGGCGGCGGCTAAGTTCGACGATGGCTGCAATGGGATGGTGGATTATGGTGATTGGGGCTGGGCAGGACATGGTGCAGAAGTGGGGTGTTGGGTTCTGCAGCTTGGGGATGGGAAGGGGCAGGCGTGGGGGCAGTGTTGAGTGGACGGGGTTGCCGGAAAAAGTCTCGGATGATTACAGTGACATGTTTCATGACATCAGTGACCCGAACGATGGCTATAGTGACACGAGCGGTGACTACAGTGACACAGGCGGCCGCTACAGTGACATGAGCGGTGGCTACAGTGACACGGGCGGTGGCTACAGTGAGAAGGGTGGTGGCTTCAATGACATTTGCGACGACTACAGTGACACGGGCAGCGGCTACATGGACATGAGCGGCTGGTATAGTGACACGGGCGGCGACTACAGTGACACGAGTGACGACTACAGTGACACGGGCGGCGACTACAGTGACACGGGCGGCGACTACAGTGACACAGCGGTGGGGACAGTGACCCCGACAGTGGCGACAAGAAATCATAACTTGTTGCAATAAGAGATGGTGTTACTGGAGCGATAATAATTGAGACGATGTCACTAGAGCGATAATAACTGAGATGATGTCACTAGAGCGATAGTAACTGAAAGAGTGACGCTGGAGCGGTAATAATAACTTATTAACTGGGACGACGGTGTTTCGAACAGTTGTCACACAATTTTCATATCCGAATTTCTATTTTCAAAAATTAAATTAAAAAAAACAACAAATTTTTAGACTTATTTTAGAGTGCGTGGTTATGGAATGCATTGAAAATTTAAAATAATACTAAATTGAAAAACCATTAATTGTGACAGAGTGCATTATTAAGCATTGTTAAGGTAATATGCCAACGTGTAGTTTTTAAAATTGATTTGAAAGGTAGTTGGCAACTTGCCGTTTTTTTAAGTTACGAGCCGTGAAATTGTTCCAATGTTATGACTTATAAGGTCACTTTTTTGCCTTTTTTAAATTGGACTCACTTTTGTGGGATTGAGCTTCCTAATAGTAATATTCAAGAGATAATCCCAGGTAATAAACAAAAGAATATCACATTGAATTAAATCATTATCTCAAACTAATTGTGATTAAGATAATTAGAGTGTGATGCCCTCAAACAATACCACATTGAATTAAGTCTACTTTCAATAATAAACAAAAGGCCTCAATCGAGTTGACACGCTCAGCCATTATTGAGCTACTCGTACAGACAATAATGTCACGAATGCTCCCATTACATAGAGATATATGGCTATTTAGTTGACTTACGCCTCTTTTTTCAACACTTGATATAGTGTTAAATATACCCGTCCTCCCAAAGTTTATGAAAATATCTCCAATGCAAAAATAAATAGAGAGATTCATAAAAATAAATCAACTTTCTTTTTTCATGTTCTTATCTTTTTTCTTTTCTCTACAACACCAACCATATTGTGTACATGTAGCCGCTGTACTTGAAATTTTGAAGAAAAAATAAACTATAAAAACATAGAAGAACGTTCAAATAAGGTAAGAGGTATTCTACTTGTTAACTTTTTTTTACTTCCATATGGGTGGACTTTGCCAACTTCAAAGTGGGTGAAAAATGAAAAATGTATAAATTTAGTGTGATTGAGATTTGCGCAGAAGAGAGGAAACAAATAGTACTACAAATTCATTATTTTAAAAGGAAAGTTACCAAAATTTTGGGACAAAAAAAATTGGCAAAGTTGAGTGCAGCGGAGGGAGTATGTGTTTATATTTTTAATGCCAACTTTATATCATTGACATGTTCACAGTAGAGATATTCTCATAGTTTCACTTGTCACTTTGAACTCCGCTTTTAAAGGTTTTCATTATTATTTTTTGTAATAATTAATACTCTTAATTACAGGACAACTTAATGATCACATATTAAGATTAATACACTCATAACATCACAACTATAATCAATTATTTCATTATATTATATAGTCATCTAAACTAATTCTCAAAGTATACTTTTGAGTAACCTTATCATTTCCTAAAAATCATTCCGTTCTTTAGTGACAATGTTAAGTTGGGATGGAGGTAGTATATATTTCACATTATTGAAGAGTCTTTTTTTATCATCAAACTGGGAAATATATATTAGATCAACAAATTATACGCCAGTTGGTTTGCAACACATTGAGGAATCTCATCATAAATAATCCTCTGATCTCAGATGCTAACATGTGCCCTTGCAAGTGCATGAGCAGCACGATTCGCAGACCTTCTACAAAAAGAGACAATAAAATTATTCTTTGTTTCTAAAATCTTCCTGATATAATCAATAATAAGGTGGAGATAAGAAGAACCATCTCTTTTCTTGATGCCTTGACCTCCACCTGTTGTCAACCTTCCTCCTCTACTGCTAGCAAAGCATCACGCACGACCACCGCCTCTATCTCAGACGCAGTCCATCTCGCTGTATGAGAGGCTTCCAAATCCCTAATAAATTCCCCATTATCATCTCTAGCAATCCAACCTCATGTTCTTTTCTGTCCTTCTTGATTCACCGCTCCATCTACGTTAATCTTGATCATTTCATGCCCCAGTTTAACCCAATTCTCCCTCCTAGCCTAAGCCGACGATGCCTTCTCCGATCCCGACTCTTGAGCTTCCTTCCAGCTAGCAAGCATACTAGCAGCCGTCTTTAAAACACTAGAAGTCTCCTGCACCTGACCCTTCCAAACCGCCTTATTCCTTCGTTTCCAAATACTCCAAAGTATAGCCACAAACATGCCCCTTCTTTCAACGTCGAGCTTGTCAAACTGTCATGTCAACCAGTCCTCCGCCACGAGCTGCTCAACATATGTAAACTGTAACACCGTCCCCAAATATATTTACTTTAAAGTGAATAATGTATTGAATCTTATGGAATGGTTAATGAACTTACGAAGTTGTGAATTTTTATTTATGCCTTTGCGTGAATAGTAAATTTGCACGTGGGGCCCACACCGGGAGCTGGGACTGCCCGATATTCCCGAGGCCATATATTTTATGCATCTTGGTCGAGGTAATATTTATATATACTGGTGGATAAATTATCTGGGCCAAAGAAAAGACATAATGTGGACCGATTGGTCAAAAGTGGCTCAAATACCAGTTTTGGCAATTTCACAGATAACAGCCCGAAAATGAATTTCGGAGGCTTATAAATTAAAGTTGGGGAATGTATATTCATTATGGGGGTCATAATGATTGAGAACATGTAATATATTTTTTTTGACCCGATAAAATAAAATATATTTAAAACAGTCCGAAAAATACAACTTTCGGGACCGATTGTACACTTCTGGACAAAAAGGTTTGACCTCCCACATGGGTGGGGGCCAATCCACGAATTTATCCACCCAATTTCATTGTTTGGCCGACTGGTGTGATAGGAGAAACAAGAGAGATGTGTGTGAAGTGAAGGAAAAAGCATCAAACAAATGGGATGGGCCCTCATCCTTACTCATTTGATCAAAGAGACAAAAAGGCAAACCTCACCCACTCTCTCCCTCATCTCTCTCGGCCAGCCTTCACCCGAAAAGAGCAAAGAAACTCTCCACCCTCCCTCTCCATTGTTGAAGAGATCTCTACAAGAAAGAATCCCAAGAAAAGGATCTAAAGCGCTAAAAGTGTGAAAGGATTAAGGTAATGACCTTATCATAATTTTTCCATTTTTCCTTCTATCATATGAGATATATATCATATGAAAAAACTTGAGGGTTGTTCTACATAATT